CCGCTTATCGCCAGGTGAGGCTCCCCGCGGCCTGAGGGGAGGCTGTGTAGTGCTGGGTTTCCCTGGGTGCTGCTGGGCCCCTCCTCACCCTCAGCTGGGCCCCGAGGTGAGAGGGGCACAGCACCACCCAGGGAACCACAGCGGGAGGGGTGAGGGTGGAAGTGTGGCGTCCGGCCGTGGGGAGGAGGGAGAGAGCCGGGACAAAGGGGCCTGGCCTGGTAAACCTAACAGAGTATCTCTTCTTGTAGAGAAAATGATCTGGGAGATAAAGTGTCGCTCTACTGGAAAAGTGAAAATAATACTATTTCCGAAGTGAATGGGACAAAAGTGTTCAGTTACGGTAAGAATGTGAGAGTGGTTCCTGTGGCTGTAACACGGGTTACAGGGGTCCTTGCTGCTGTCCTGCTGGAATGTATGCCGACATCAATGATCATGGCTTTTTTCCTCAACTTTTTATCTAACTTCATAATTTTGAAGGAGTGCTATTGGCACACACAGGGTTTCTGTTTTGGTCGGTGCCAGGAGTGTGTTCTCGAAGTCGGCTTCCTGATGGATGTTAAGTTCTCTGTTCTGGCTCATGCTGTGGAGGGGGTTTGGAACACACGAGCTGGGTTCTTTTCATATGAATTCCAGTTACAAAAGGACTAGACTATGGCTAGCCCAGAGCATTTAAGAAGGGGGCGAGGGAGCCCAAACCCAAAACTGAAAAGTGCTTAGTGTGGATGTTAGTTCGTCATAACTAACTGCCTAGCTTTGAGTCTCTTCCTACTGATCCACTTGTTAACGTGAATGTAGCCACTACAAAGATTTTTTCCAAATTATAGATTCAACAAAAGCATGCTCTAAGCTAGGAGTTTAACAATAGACTGTCCTGTCAGGCTTACGATCCTCATAGATAAAATAGCCGTAACTGTTTCTAGGGTTAGGTGGAATGACTATTTAACTGTGTCCATCATTCTTATGGGTTTTTTGGCTGGTCTGTTCATTGTTTCTTTCTTGGTTCTGGGTTTAATATTTCTTTTTCTTTTTTAAAAAAAGAAGGAAGGCTGCCTTAGTGTCACAATTACGTTTTATGTTTGTATTATCCTACAAATAACCTAATGCCTATTTATTGGATTTGAAGTCAGCAACAGTGAGTGAGATGGCAGCTTGTTTTTAACTTGCAATACAGTGGATTTACATGCTTTATTTTAATTATTTTTTTTTAAGATCGCGTCTTTCACTCAAGTGACAACACTCAGCAGTTGTATGAAGGAGTAGCTGTTCCAATTATACAATCAGCTGTGCAAGGTTATAATGGTAAGTTTTAAAACTGTGTTTAAATCCTGCTTGCAATGTATTCCGTAAGTAATTAGTAAAATTACACCATCTTTCTAGGCACAATTTTTGCCTATGGACAGACTGCTTCAGGGAAGACGTACACAATGATGGGAAATGAAGATTCTGTGGGCATTATCCCGAAGGCAATTCAAAATGTTTTCAAAATTATTTTTGAGGTGAGCAATTTCACTAAATTGAAGTGACTGAAAAGACTAGTAATGTTTGTGATCGTTAGAGAAGAATCAATTTTAATATCAAGAAGCTTGTGAAGGAAATGCATTTATACTGCATCATATGTTGCAGTTGCTTTGCTAGCCTTTCAAAGATGAGTGGTTCAAGAAAACGACAACAGGAATTTTAGTTGGAATCAAATCAGAACAAAACTGAGGAGAGCTGTTAAACTTGCAAAAATATTAAACCTTGTTTAAGAGTATAAATAGATGCTCACTCATGAATGTAGTTCATAAGGTGATGTGAAACAATGTGTTCTTTATTTTGCTATTTGAAACTTAACAGTATTAAAGACTTTCTTAGTGGGAAGAATATGACACTAAATTTACTTACTTCAGGCTTTCAAAAGAACCATAAGCTAATTGCTGAATGCTAATAGGAAGTAAGGAGAAGGTATAGGTTAAAACAGTGATTTCCAAACTATCATCTGCAGAGCACTGGCTTCTGCCTTGAGGATTTCAGGTAATCATTATCAGTCATGTGAAATGGGCAGTGCTCCTCTGAGGAGGGGGTCTAAAGCAAATACAGCTGTCCACAGTGCTGCCGTCCTTCAGTCCATTGTGCAGCCTTTCCTCATGCCAGTACTCTACCAGGGACGCAGGGGAAGAAGAAGCAGCAGCAGCAGAAAACTAGGTACACAGAGAGGAAAGAGCCTAAGCAGGAGGAAATTAGATATGGAAAGGGCACTTAAGTTGGATGACTGTTGTCTCTGTTCTGTAGGGCAGTTGTCTTAATTTTATAACCTACTAAAAGTGATGTACCAGTAATCCAGCTGGAAAGAGGTGGGATAGAAGAAAAATGCTTCTGTTTTGGTAGATGCTAATGTGTAAAGAGAATGAGAGGGAAGAAACCTGTGGAAGGATATCCAAACATACACCTTTGAGTTCAGAATGCTTCCATTAAAGGGTGTTTGTTGATTAGTCTGTTATTTTTTCTTTTGTCTTTTTTTTTTTCTTTGAACATTAGATTCCAGACAGAGAATTCTTGCTAAGGGTTTCTTACATGGAAATCTACAATGAAACCATCACAGATTTGCTTTGTGATATTAGGAAAAAGAAGCCTCTTGGAATTCGTGAGGATGTCAATGTAAGTGGATGTTATGTAGTGTCAGCAAAGGAAGTAGGTTAAAAAAAACAACCAGCTTTCAGAGGCATTTAGTTGAAAAGTTTTCTCTGCCAAGTTGTGTAATTGTTATCTTCCAAATTAGCACAAGGACACTTGATGTAGTAGAATAACAACAGTGAAGTTGGGCTTGTTCTGTTTTGTCTTTATAAATGTAGACTTAATCCCTTAACTTTTCCAGGATAATATATTTTATTTAACTTTGACCATGAATACTTGGGAGTTGTCTAGCTAATAAAACTAATACAAACACGATAATAAGCCTCCAGCTCCATGTGTTACAAGTCTTGATATACAGTTACCTTTAATTGTCTACAAAGTAGATGTTCTTCTGCTGTATTCACAGAATAACCATTAGGCTAGTACTATTCAATAAGATGATCAGTAGGGAAAAATAAATCTGTATTAATACCATCTTCAGTTTCTTTATATTAAGTTTTGTAGCAACTAATAAAAAATGGTGGTTTGGGTTTTTTCCCCTTGCAATGCCCTAAATAATCAATGCTTTTGAATCTTGAGAAGAAGGGATATTTAGCAATTGTATGATTATGGCCTTTCAACATTTACTGAGAAATACTCCCAGACTCCCTCAGAAAATGTCCAGAAGGATATTTTCCTCACCAGTTTTATTTTTAGGAAACTTTGTAGATCTCTGATTCCTGTGCCTTTAAGCTACAGTTCTGATAAAGGTTTAAACTTTCCCCATTCTTAGTGTTCAGAGTAAGAAGACATTCGGCTGATGTTGCTTCCTTTCAAGAAGGCAGCAAACTGGAATAAATACCATAATAATTGCTGATAATGTTAACTTAATGTATTGAAGTGAGTTTTAGAGTTCAGTAAAATTCATTGCTGTTTTTGCTCTTAAGAGGAACACCTATGTAGAAGATCTGATTGAAGAAGTAGTGGTTTCCCCAGAACAAGTTATGGAATGGATCAGAAGAGGAGAAAGTAAGTTGTTTAGCCAGTGTCAGCTGATATCTTAGAAAAGCATTGATGAATCAGATATATCTAGAATTGTGGAGTATCTCTTTGAGATTACATTCTGAAATCAATGCTTTTCAAATAGTTTTAAAATTGTACTTTTTGTCTGTTATCTCCAATTTATCAGAATGTAAGCAGAAGTATTCTAATTGCTTTTTGACAGAAAATCGCCATTATGGAGAAACAAAAATGAATGAACACAGCAGCCGTTCTCACACTATCTTTAGAATGGTAAAAACTGTTTCACTATTTAGGAGGGTTTTTATTATTTTCAAAGTGGCAAAAACTTTATTGCACCTTCTTCTAGATTATTGAAAGCAGAGAACGAAGTGACCTTGCAAATGCAAACTGTGATGGAGCAGTGATGGTATCCCACTTGGTAAGCTGTACTCCAAAAAGTTATTAAATAGGCATTTAAGTAGAGAATTTACTGTTACCACTTGTTTGAGAGAAGAATGTTACTTTGTAATAACAAAGCATGACATAATGTCATTAACTTC